AGGAAAAGAGATTTCTCTCACACCATCCAGCCCTTAGGGAGCAGAGGTTCTCTGGGAAGGTCTTTGGAGCTCAGAGCATGGGCTGGCCTTGAGGAAGTCATTTCTGCTCTGAAAGTGAAGAAATGACCACCACCCCTTTGACATCCCCCAACCATACACACAGCCCTACCCAGCTCTGCCCTGCACTAACACAAATGCCTCATTTGACTTCAGAGGAAAATGAAGCTACAAATAGGAGGAAGGGGAGTAAAAAGAGGGGGAAAAAAACAAGTGGGGAGGGAGAGATGAGGTACAAGGCACCCTCTCCTCTCACGCACACTACTGCAGGTGGTTACACACAGCTGAGCAGGAAACTGGAAGAAGAGCTCTTCTCCCCTGCAGCCTCTTCCTCTTGCTCTCCATCACCACTCTCCCAACCCCTGCCAAGTCCCGCATCTGATCCTATGTGAGATAAAGAAGCAGAAGGCCTAGAGGGAGCCTGTGATTTTTGCCTGGATCACCTCTTACAAATGCGATGGGCTGCTGGGCTTGCCCTAACCCTGCATCACCCCCAGGCTGTTCCTTCAGTCTACTTGGGTATGGAAAGGGTTAAGCTCCTCCCATCCCTTCCCTCCCTCATCCCATTTCTCCATTCACTTCTATTTTCCCATCTCCCTAGTGCCAAGCTCATAGTTACAGGTTCCTGTATTAAGATGCATGGAATAGTAATGGGTAAATTCCATCTCTAATTGCAATATTTCCTAATTACTAAATTCCAGAGCCACTGTACCAACCCAATTATGGGAAGTCCTGCCAGAGTTCTCCATGGTCTGAGGACTCCCTGCTTTACTGAGAGGCACCTGGTCCTCACAAATGCCTTGGGGGAACCTTCCTGACATCCCCCCCAGCTGCTATCCTCCCCTGGTCCCAGATTGTCCAGTGATGAAGCCCTTGGGCTTCTAGTTTCTGTGCGGGGGAAGGGAGAAAGTGAAGAAAGCTTCATGATTGAGGAAAGCCTCCTGTTGACAGGCAGCTATCCTGGGGTTGGAGAGCATCTGGGAGCCCTGTCACTCTGCACCAGCCACCACCACCAATGCTCCCAGCTTCAGAGCTCTCTTTGTGGGCTGGGGGGACCCAGGGAAAGGAACCACATGCCCTGGCCTTGGGGAGCACCTGGACTGATAGAGGAGACACGGTTATTTTGAGTTCCCCTTTACAGTCCCGGGTACCTGTTACAGAGGTGCTTAGTGCATCGGAGTGGAATGCAGAGGAAAAGGGGGGGAAAGTAGGAAATCAGGAAGGAACGGGGTGCTCTGGCTCAGGCTGAATTTAGACTCTGGCTGCACCTACATACAAGCGTTGACTTTTGGGCTGTGAGTCCCACAGGGATCTGACTTCTCAGATCTGGCGTCTCCAAAGGAGAAAAGCAGTCACACACCAACTAACTCCCATTCCTCCTGCCTTTGCAAGGAGCCCTCCTCCCCAGCCCACCCATAGGACCCTCAATACACACACATGGGCACGCGCGCGCGCGCACACACACACACACACACACACACACACACACACGCCGCTGCTGGGCTCCAGAGGAGCCGTTTAATTGCCGAGTTGGGAACCTGCAGTGGCTTTTGGTGCTGATGACATCAGCATGCCATCACAGATAGGGCTGCTGAGGCTGGAGCAGGTCTGGATTCAGTGGAGTGTCCCATCATGCACTCAAGTCTGCTCACCCTGGGGCCTCCCTCCTTGATTCAGAGCAGGTGTTCCTGAAGGAGGTGCCAGAGCCCTTACGGAAGACCAAGGAAACCCAACACCAGGGAGGAAGAGTTGATTCAATTCCTCCAATGAATCACTGCCTAATTTTTGTAAAGGCTGCTGCCTGATTTCAATCGCCCAGCCTCCTGCTTCTACTCAGTGTGTTAGTGGCCTCAACCCAAGAACCCACACCTGCGTTCTCAGGCTCCCCACCGTGCGTAGAGCTGGTGATAAGCGACAAGGAGAGGGGGAAGGGTTCTGGCCACTCACCTGCTGTGGCCTGCAAGGCCCCCCAAAGCGCCTAGGATCTGGGGATTCTGAGCAACCAAAAACTTCTCTGGGCCTTTGCCCTTCATTATAAAGTGTGGACAGCAATGGCACAGCAAGAGGACCGCAGTGATGAGAGACTGACAGCCCTTGCGAGCCGCTCTATCCTGGCGCGGGGAGGCGCATAGCAAGGAGCCCCAGGTTCCTGGTTGTGCAGGACCCAAGCTGGCTTTGCCCTTTCTTATACCTGACACTTAGTGTTACTGACAGCAAAAGCTGAAATCCTGAGGTCCCCAGCTAAAGTGACCAAAGAAGGGCCTCTCCTGACTCTACAGCAGCAGGTAACTCCCCTTTCTTTCAGATCTGGGGGCTGCTTGGCCTTTTAATGGACCCAGCTACTCACATCCTACTTCCCTAAGTGTGAGGGGCCTTCCGAATCTAACCTCCTCCCTGGCACTCAGCCAGGGGGACTTTATCCTCATCTGAAAATTATCCAGGGAGGAAGCTTCTACAGTATCTCCTGCTTGTCCTGGATTTGGGAATTTTTTTTTTTTTTTTTTTGAGACCAGGTCTTACTGTCTTCCAGGCTGGAGTGAAGTGGCGTGACCATAGCTCACTGCAGCCTCAACCTCCTGGGCTCACGCGATCCTCCTGCTCAGCCTGGTGTGCCACCATACCCAGCTAATTTTTACATTATTTATAGAGACAGGGTCTCTGCATGTTGCCCAGGCTAGTCTGGAATTCCTGAGCTCAAATGATCCTCCCACCTCGGCCTCCCACAGTGCTGGGATTACAGGCGTGAGCCACCGCACCTGACCTGGGCCTCCTTCTTGATGTTTAATTTTGGACCCAGCCTCTCTAGGGGAGGGGGCTGGCAACTAGGTGCTCCACTGCCCTCCAGACTCACAGTGACTGTCAGGTCCCTCTAGGCCTGGGTCCAAATTTACCCATCACTCTGGCTGCTTCCTTGAACTGTCAGTTCCAGGGATGAAAATGAAGGATTGCTGGGACAAATCCTTCCCTGACATCAAGCTTTGGCAAGAAACAACTCATTAGGCATCAAGAAGAACTGCCTTCAAGTTAGAGGAATGAAATGCGGGAATGACCACCAACGGAGTGATGGCAGCTCCTTCCCTTGAGTTTTAAGAATATGAAAGGTGGACAATGCTCCTTCCAGCTGGAAAACCCAAGACAGCATTCTATGTGTAGGAAGGAAAGGAGCCACAGGCCACGTAAAAATGGAAAGCACTCAGGTGGCACTCCTCCTGCACCAGGCACTGTTCTACACCCTTTGCAGGAATTAACACATCTCATCCTCACCAAGAACAACCTACATCATAGATATGAATTTTAGCTCCATTTTACAGATGGGAAGACTGAGAAACAGAGTATGATGAACTTGCCCAAAATCAGAGCAAGTGGCAGAACCAGGATGAACCATGGCAATCTGGCTAGTCACCATGCTGCCTCGTAGAAAAAAATCTGACTTGATGTTTCTCCAGTGAAACTATATTATTCATCACAGGCTTCTGGAGCCCAGGAGAACCCATAACTGAATCCCAGCTTCTCTGACCGAGTGGAAGATGAAGAATCAACTCGTTGCCTATGGATGGATTATTCACCTAGGGAATTTAGAATTGCATGTGTCCGATGGGCTCCTGTTCTTTGGTGCTTCGTATTTAACCACTGCACTGAGGAAATTCCCCTACTGCTCCCTCTGGCTTGCCGTTCCAGTTCTCTAAGAGTATCCCCACCACCTTCAGTGATGTCTGGCTCCAGCTCGAACTTGCCTAGATCAGGAAAGTTCACAGAGTGAATCCCAAGTGAAGTAGTGTTTCTACTCATCTGCAGCCTTAATTCGTCCATGAGGATGTTTCTGTCTAGGGAAGGGAATGACGGCCATTCTTCCAGCCAAATGAACCCTAGCCTCCTCCCACTGTGTCTTCATTGCCCTATCCCCCTGCTTCCAGAGTCCTCAGTGCCCCTTTATCTACTCTCCCCTGAGAGGGCTGCACGGGCCAAACTGGGAAGGAAAAGGAGACCCCATTGAGATAGGACAAAGTTCAGATGGAGGAAGAATGAATGACTAGAGGTCAGGCTTGCCTAGGGGATGGGGAACACTGGGGTGGCCTGGTCCCCAGGGGTTGGGGGGGGCAGGGAAGAGGCTTCTCCAGCCACCTCCAAAACTCACCCACCCCCGCCAGGTCTCTGCAGTTTCAGGGACAGCCCTGTCACACCTGCCTGGAAGCTGCCTGAGGAAGAAGGAATAGAACGAGCTCTAGCTGCAGTGTGAGGGCAAGACAGCCCAGATCCAGCTCCAGAAAGGGTCTCCGCAGCCCTGCAAGGTCTTCAGCAAGGTACATGCTTTGCCCAGTGTGAAACCAGCTTCAGTCCTAATTTGAAGCCAATTGCAAGCTTCTCTGGGCAAAAGGTCAATGTTTACAAACACCAACCCGTCTTGCTTTCCCTGGTCCTGTTCTGCAGATGTCAGACCCCAAAGCTGCAAAAGAAATGTTCTTGCATAATCACCCCTTCCCCAAAAAGAAAACCCAGGCTGCCTGGATACAAGCTCCTGGACTGCAGAATGAAACTGACTCACGGCAGAGTGGTCTGGTCTCTCTTCCTCCAGGGCACAGTGGGCCAGGTCTCTGTGAGACTATAACCTAGACACTTTCCTCTGCCTCCCTCTCCTCAGCTTTCCCGAAGCTCCCTAGCTCCTCCTTTGGCAAAACAAGGGGAGAAGGTAAGGATTAAGCCCGAGAAGTCCCCAGAAAAAGCCAGCCCTCTGGGGGGAGTCCTAGAGGGTGAAGCCAGGGATCTGCCTGGCAGCCAAGCCGAGTGGAGGCGGCCACCCAGAGGGAAAGGAGTCCAGGAGTCAGGGTTCAGTGGGCACTGGCCATTCCCCAGGGGCATGGGAGGAGCTGGGTTGGAGCTGGACTCCCTAGGCGCAGTGTGTCTGGCTGGACCCCTGACGCTGACTCACCCCCAGGGCCCTGACATATGCTGCAGCTTGCAGTGCCTGCCAGGCCACCGCTCTTGTTCCAAAGGACCAGGACGCCAGGCACGTCCCACTGCATCAGAGCCACCATGCCCCCTCCCACCTACCCCTCGGCCTGCCTAGGGTCATTGGGCATGGCTATTTTTTTTCAGCATCTCTGCTGGTCACAGAGATGTTTCTAGTAGCCCCAAAGCTGGACTTGGTCCTGTGTAGGGAGAGATGGTTGAAAGGATTAAGGGCTTCCCTGCTTCTCACTGTCAACCCCTCTAATGAAGTGCCAGCTGATGGAGAGCTGGCTGGATTGGATGGAGGACAATCTACTCCACCTGGGAGAGGCCTCTCAGGGCAGCAGCAGTAGGGAAGAGAGAGAAGGGCACTCTTCTGCTTTCCAGGTCAGACCCCAGTTGGCCTTTCTGGCTTCCTCAACGCCCCCAGATCCTAAGGACTTCCTCTCCTCATACCCCAACCCAACCTGGGCTACCTGCTCACCGGGGCGTCTGCCCTTCCCTCCCCACTGCGGCGGCCCCTCCTGGGCCAGGCCTCTTCTGTCCTTGCACTCCCTTCCTTCCGCTGCTGCGGGGAGAGCACCTACACCACCACCTCAGCTGGGGGTGGGGGAGGACGGTGCGCTGCCAGGAGAGACCCCACACGAGCTGGGGGCTAGGGGTGTGCTGGAGGCACCTGTGGAATGTGGAGATGAAAAGGGAAAAGGAGATAGGCGGAGGGGGCCTGGCTTAGTGGGATGGGAAACGATAAAGCTCCTCTTTTTAGTTGAAAATTAAAAGCTCTGTGCCTCAGAGATGGGGAAAGGAACATAGGCAGGGAAAGGGGGAACCCCAAATGGGAAAGCTACATGGAAGAGTCTAGAAAGGGGAGTCGGTCTGTGAGCACCCGCCAGGCTGCCAGCCCAGCCCTGGGGACAGAGCTGAAGCAGGGACGGGGCGTCCTAGGTCGTGCTGAGTCATGAGATTTGGAGAGAGGAGAGGGCGCCTCCATCCCCCTCTCGGGCCCGGGCCCCAGCTCCTCGTGCCCGTCGCCTCCAAATGGCCCCGCGATCCGTGTCCCCAACCTCTCCCTGACCCAGGGTCTCCGGCTCCCAGCGCCCAGACCACCCCTCACCCCAACCTCCCACGACGGCGGTGCCAGGGGTCCCGCAGTTTGAGACTGGGGCAAAAGAACCTTCCTTGGAGACCAATGGGGCGGGCCGGGGGGTCCCAGGGACAGGAAAGAGGGGCGAGGGTGCACAGCCGGGGGTTGCGGGGGACGCGTGGCCCGCCCCTCTCTGCAGCAACTCGCGGGGAGACGGCGGAAGGAAATCTGTCCCCCCGCCCCCAGTCCCAGTCCCAGTCCCAGTCCCGCAGAGAAGCTCCCCGCCCTTCAGGTCCGGCTCCCCCAGACGAACCTTCCATCTGGACGCGTTCAAACTCCCCCAAAGGACGGTGCGGACTACCGGCCCCTCGGCCTCAAACTTCCCCAGCGTCACTCACCTCCCGGGAGCCGGACCACCCGTTGCCCTCGACGCAGCGGCAGGAGAGGAGAAACTTTGGAGGGAGGTCCGTGCCCCACCGGCACGGCTGTGGACTTACCGGAGGGCGACCCGAAGGAGGCAATAGAGACCAGGGGTCCCCGAGGTGAGGGGGCGTCGGGCCGCAAGGACGCGGCGCTGGCGACAGCTTCGCAGGTGCGCCCGTTCCCCTGGGACGCGGAGTCCCCGCTCCGCCGCTGCCCCAACTCGGCTTCGAAGTGCCTTTGCCGCAAGACTTGCTGAGCTTAGCAGTCTGCGCCGAGGCGGCGGAGGGAGGGGGCCTGATCGATGGGCGCGCGCGGCGAGCGCTGCAGTGAGGGGAGGAGACCGAGCGGCGCGGGAGGGCGGGAACCAAGGCGGAGGAGGCCCGGAGGAGGCGTGGGCGGGCCTGCCCCCAGGGACGGGTCCTCTCTCCGCAGCCCCGTAGGCGTTCGGCGTCCCCGCCTCCTATTCAAGGTCAAGGAGGCGGCTTCCCCGGCAGGAAGATGGACTGGAAAGAGGCTCCATCCTCCCTACCCCAGAGGGCCGGTCTCCTTTCGAGCCACTTTCTCCCCAACTTCCCGAACCCACTGCAGCTCAAGATTAAATTATTGGGTTCAGGAGCCCCCCGGCCTCATAGCCATTTTGGGAGCCCTGAGCCCCTAGCCTCCCTCCTCCCCTTCCCACTTAGGTCATCGCTACCTAGAGTGGCCACCTGGATAATGTGGGCTTCTGAGCCTAAAGGATGGGTGAGAAAGAGAGGAGGATGCTTGGGAGATGGCGCCTGGGGCCTATGGAAACAGAGCGGCAGAGGGGAGAGGAAGAACTGCAAGGTGGCAAGGAGAGAAGAGCTGGAAGGCAGTAGGAAGGAAAGGAGGACGCTACTGGTTATTAAAATCAGGGCATTCACACGTGTTAGTTTGCCTAATGTGTGAGACATCCCTTTAAGCTGGGCATTATGGCTGGGCAATTTGCAGGTGGGGAAACAATCCCTGAATGGTGCGTTGGGCCAAGGAGCTGCAGACAGTAAGTGGTGGCATTTCGGAAGAGCCTGGGAGAAAGAGAAGGGTGGCAAGGGCAAAGTGGAGGCCTTCCTAACCTACCCAGGAGCTGCCAGGGCAGCAGCAGGACTTCCTTACAGCACAATTTGAATATCCACTTTAATTCTTTTGAAGTTAACTTTGTTTTTGTTTTGTTGAGATGAGTCTCACTCCCTTTCCCAGGCTGGAGTGCAGTGTGCAGTGGCGTCCTCTCGGCTCACCACAACCTCTGCCCCCTGGGTTCAAGCGATTCTCTTGCCTCAGCCTCCAGAGCAGCTGGGATTACAGACATGCACCACCACACCCGGCTAATTTTTGTATTCTTAGTACAGATGGAGTTTCGCTGTTTGGCCAGGCTGGTCTTGAACTCCTGATCTCAAGGGATCCACCTGCCTCAGCCTCTTAAAGTGCTGGGATTACAGGTGTGAGCCACTGCACCTGGCCTGGAGTTAACTTTTATAATAGCACTGTAGCATCCTGCCTCTCTTTTGGGTACAAAACAGTACATGGCCTGAGGTCAGTCTCCGATACATACTTGCTGAGTGAGAGGTGCAATGAATGTATTACGAAGACATGCAAAGAACAAGTGGGATTCCACCTTGGGAGAGACAAGAGGCAGTGGAGGGTGCTTTTCAAGATCACTGTGCCAATAATACCAGGTGTTACTGGCAGACCATCCCCAGCTGGAGACTATCCCCAGTTTGGCTTGCCTGAGAGCAAGGCAGCAAGTGGTTGCTACCTCAGTGGACGTTACGAAAGAGGTCCGGGAAGACCTCTGGTAGCCCCCAATGACACTGAAGCTGTGCCCATAGCCCCTGAGGCAGAGATGTCCTTCCCACTCTCCTGTGGAGCAGCCCTAACAAGGGCAGTGGAGAAAGTGGGGAGCCAAGTTACAATGGACTAGGAATGAGACCTTCACATTCAAAGAGAGTACCCACCGCCCACACCCTTAGCCAGGTGTGTTCCAGGACTTGTTGCTTCCCCAAAGGGGCTGACTCTATTTGCTCCTTCCTCCTCCCCATATTGACGAGGGCTGCAGCCTCCTCGAAAAAAATCAAGCTTAGCGAACTGGCCTGATGCGCTTCAACTCTTCCACCACAACAGACTTAGCTGCTTATTGTTCTGATCAAAGCCCTGTGTCAACTGCCGCCCCAGCTTCTCCTAAGCACATCAGAGGAAGCCAGCCTGCCTTCCTAGGCTATTAGGAGAGTCAGTGCTGCAATCAATTTGGTTAAATGAAAAATGTGGTGTCCCTGGCTACGGCTTTAATGTTCTTTTAATTCATCAGGACCAGTGGTGTCTGGGTTACAAACCTAATCAGGAGCTCCGCATCCCTCTTGTTTATTCCCCCAGGCTTCAGGAGCTGGAAGAGGAAAGAATGGAAAAGACATCCACCCCCTCCACACCCAGCCTATTATTAGATACTTTGCTTTTCAACTGTTCAACATTGTAGAAAGTGAGCCTCTGGATCTTAGATCAACATCACTAAATTGCATGCCCATCCAGGACCATCAGGGCAATCCCTCTGTTTCCACGCAAGATCATTTTGAACCCACAGAAGGTAGGGGAGGGCTAACACTGAGAGTTATTTAGGAAGAAAGTCTACAACTCCCTCAATTACATTGTTTTACCACTTTCTGCTGAATAGTGTGCTTCCTGGTGGTTTCATTTTCTGTTTCTTTTATGGAGGAGAGAGGAAAGAGCAGGGAACTGCAGCATCTTGCCCCCATCACAGCTTTCACTGGGGACTGAAAGCAGCCACTCTACCTTTTTCCTGCCTGCCACCCACCTTCTGCTTGAAGAATTCCATTTTCGTCCATCCTTGATCATAGGTCCACTGACACTTGTACTACCTCACACATGGATTGTTCCCCTGCTGCTTCTGGTCAGGTTTTCATCCTTGCAAAGTTGTTCCAAGCTCTGCTATCTTCCTTAGAGTAAACAGAAACAAGCTGGGACAGGAGAGCGAGTCTTTATCACTGCTGGCCCTGGCTCGCTCCCATTTCCTGCTTTGTCTTGACACACACAGAAACAAACCCTCCTTCAGAAAGCTGTTGTTCTGTCCTCCCACCTCCTGCTCATACCCATATTATTTTTCCTGAGCAGTTGGTATTGTTCCTGACAATTAAGCAAACAATGACCAAATTCTCCTCTGAAACACGCCTGCTTCGCTGGTTGTAATTGAGTAAATGGTTTTTAAGACTTACATGCAATTTCTATCACTAAAGGTCTTGGTTTTCTTCTTCTAATCTGATTTTGTAGACATACCAAGCTTAAATGTACTTTATCTTTTATTTAAATTACCCTGTACTACCCTATACTCTAGCTCCACTGAGCTATTTTCATTTCCCTAAGCCACATAATAGTGGTGGCTACCTATTTTGCTAAGGCCCTGCTCAGTGTTTATAACCATTATAGTACTTAAACTTCAATAGTATATTTCTGGCCGGGCATGGTGGCTCACACCTGTAATCCCAGCACTTTAGGAGGCTGAGGTGGGCGACCAGCCTGGCCAACATGGTGACAACTTGTCTATGCTAGAAATACAAAAATTAGCCAGGCATAGTGGCAGACGCCTGTAATCCAAGCTACTTAGGAGGCCGTGGCAGGAGAAGCGTTTGCATGGGGGGGAGGCAGAGGTTGCAGTGAGCCGAGATTGCACCATTGTACTCCAGCCTGGGCAGCAAGAGTGAAACTCCATCTCAAATAATAACATATTTTTTATTTATTTATTTTTTTAATAAAGACAGAGTTTTACCATGTTGGTCAGGCTGGTCTTGAACTCCCGACCTCAGGTGATACACCCACCTTGGCATCCAAAGTGCTTGGATTACAGGCGTGAGCCACCACGCCCAGCGACGTACTTTATGCTATAGTCAAACTTAGATATCTCATAAAATGCTTTCCTTTTTTTTTCCTTTACTTTTTTTGAGATGGGTGTTTTGCTTTGTCACTCAGTTTTTTTGTTGTTGTTTTTTTTTTAAGATGGGGTTCCACCATTATGGCCAGACTGGTCTTGAACTCCTGACCTCAGGTGATCCACCCACCTCGGCCTCCCAAAGTGCTAGGATTACAGGCGTGAGCCACCACGCCCAGCCACTGTCACTCAGTTTCAAGTGCAGTGGCACAATCAGGGCTTACTGCAGCCTTGAGGCTCAGGTGATCCTCCTGCCTCAGCCTCCCAAGTAACAGGGACAACAGGCATGCACCACCATGCCCTGCTTATTTTTTAATTCTGTGTAGAGACAGGGACTTTCTGTGTTGCCCAGGCTGGTTTTGAATTCCTGGACTTAAGCGATTCTCCCACTTTGGCCTCCAAAAGTGCTGGGATAAGAAGCATGAGCCACTGAGCCGGACCTTCAGATGCTTTCAGTACAGAAGACATGAACTGATCAGATGTGGGGAAAGAAATCAAACATGAGCAAAATAAATATAACTATCATATATCATATAATCTACATGATATCCTAGGTTTTAATTAAAAAAGAAAAACCCTAGTATCCTAACAGGCAGTGAAGGCCAACTCTTCCAGAAAGCTGATTAAGTAGACTATAATTATTTCTCTATTCAATGAATAAAATAAAAAAACAACTGAGTTCAAATAAAACTTTGAAATACAACAGAATAGGGAAGACAGAGGACTACTGATCTATAATATTACACTCCTAGAGGAGAAACTTTATTTAAAGTTTCAAGACCATATCTGGCATATGGAAGAAAGTCACTAGGATGCAAATAATAATCACAGAATTCTGTCAGATCCTAAAGAATATCACGAGGACCTCGTCTTTTCATATAGTAACAATGATTGTTTTTCCTTCCCAGATTCAAAGGGAATAATAACTTACAACACCAGAGCAGACCCTTCTTCCTTCTGCAGTGAAGCACCAGTCACAGTTCTATGTCCCAGGTAAGTTTTGCTGAGCCTCAGTTTTCACCTCTCATAGAAGAGGAGGTTCTTCTGAGGTGCTTGCCTTGTGGAATGTGAAGAGTCAATGGCTCAGACTACTAATCACACAAGGGCAGGATGTCTCTCCTTACCAGAGGGCAACTGTAGGCTTTGAAGCTGCCCATCAGGGGGAAGATGAAAAGCAAATCAGTTGAAACATTTTCTGAATAATTAACCCTGGTGCTTTAATATCCCTGTGTCCATTAAAACTCTCCCTAAATCAGAGTTGTATCACAGAACTGCCCTTGAGATGTGCCCTAGCTGTGGAAGGCAAGCACCAAAGCACAAGAAGCCACAGCAGAGAAATGCAGGGAAGAAGCCCTAGGATTGATACGGTCCTTTCTTTGGTATCCCAAGTCGATCTGCCACTCTTCTCTGTAGCTCAGGAGCAAATCTGGAACAAGTCTCTTAAGCTTCGTATTTGTCCATGTGCCCATCATCTATCCAGTCAATAACATTTACTACGGCTGAGTGTGGTGGCTCAAGCCTGTAATCCCAGCACCTTGGGAGGTTGAGGCAGGTGGATCACTTAAGGTCAGGTGTTTGAGACCAGCCTGACCAACATGGTGAAACCCCATCTCTACTAAAAATAGAAAAATTAGCTGGGCACAGTGGGAGCACCTATAATCTCAGCTACTTGGGAGGCTGAGGCAGGAGTATCACTTGAACCCAGGAGGCAAAGGTTGCAGTGAGCTGAGATAGTACCACATCCTGGGCAACAAGAGCAAAATTCTGTTTCAAAAAAAAAAAAAAACAACTGCCCCGGCTGGAGTGCAAATACCACCACCTAGCGTATTATCTGTCAGGAGCCCTGTCAGGGCAGGCAACGTGGAGGGGAACACTTAAACACACTTGAAGGATTTCACAGCCTCCTTGATGCAGGGAGTGAGATATATGTACCAAAAGAAAAGTAGAAGATGCTATGGGAACCAAAGGGGGGACCACTAACACAACTTGGTAGGAAGAAATGATGGCAGGCTTCCCCGATGAAATAACCTTTCAGCTATCTCCGAAGGAAGGACTGGTCCTCTAGGTAGGCAATGAAGAAAAAGGCATTCCAGGCAAAGACAGTAGAAGTGGGATAAAAGTATACCGTGCACTCACTGAAGAGCTTAAGCGTTGGAGTCAAAGCTGTGTGACTGCTGTAAAGCCTCCGTTTCCTTATTTGTTAAATGAAGACCTCACCACCTACTTTGAGGGATTGTTGTAAAGATTAAGTAGTATAATGGTAATCAAAGTGAGCAGGGCCTTAACAAAATAGCTACTATTATGTGGCATAGGGAAATGAAAAGGGCTCAGTGGATCTAGAGTATGGGGTAGGTTTGGGGAGAAGGGAAAGATGAGAGGCAAAGGCAAGCTCATGACAGATTCTGTAGACCAGCTGTTTGGATTTTCTTCAGAAGGTAATGGAAAGCATTGAAGGAATCAAGTATGGGAGCAACTTGATCCATTTTATGCTTTAGAAAAACCACTCACAGCTGGAGTTGGGTTAGAGGGCCTATAAGTTCCCTTCCCTTGCTGACTTCTCAAAGGCGGCCACATACAATATACTGTCATGCTCACCAGTTTGGATTCTGGAGCCAGACTTCCTGAGTTCCAATCTCAGCTCCCCCTCAGAGGCCATGAGTTGTGACTTCATTTCATAGCAGCGTGGTGAGTCAGCTGAGGTTATCTGATATCTAGCACAGTACCTGATGTTCAGTCAGAGCTCAGTGCGTGTTGAGTAACTCTTATTTCTGGCTCCAGAGGCCAGCAAGCCTAATGATGATTCTCCACATTGTTTGTTCCAGAGAGGTTGAGTGACTTTTCCAAGGAAGCCCAGTGAGTCTAGAAGCCATGGGATAGCTGCCTACCTCCTCATACTGTCTAGGGTCTGGCTTGAGAAAAGTTTAAAAACGAGGATTGAACAGCCTTTGTTAGACCCTGTTCCTCACCACCCCAACCCCTGGCTGTGGGGTGTTGGATTGTACATGGTCTCTAGACTCAAGAAGCTCTCTCTGTGTGTGTACGTATGTGTACGTGGTAAGACCTACAAGCAACACATGCTTTTTGGGTCTTTTTTCTTATTTGAGATGGAGTCTTGCTCTGTTGCCCAGGCTAGAGTACAGTAGTGCAATCTCAACTCACTGCAACCTCCACCTCCTGGGTTCAAGCAACTTCAGCCTCCTGAGTAGCTGGGATTATAGGTGCCCCCCACTATGCCCAGCTAATTTTTGTATTTTTAGTAAAGACAGGGTTTTGCCATGTTGGCCAGGCTGGTCTTGAACTCCTGACCTCAGGTGATCCACCAGCCTTGGCCTCCCAAAGTGCTGGAATTACACGCGTGAGCCACCGGGCCTGGCATTGTTGCATCTTTTACCCAGGTTTTGGAGCATTGTCGAGGAGCTTCTGGCTGAAAATGTTCTGCTATTCCCAAGGGCAACTTACCTTGGTTCCAACGTGCCTAATGGCTTGGTTTCCTTTCCCTCATCAGGCCAGGCACCTTAAGAGTTCCCATGCATTTGCTTATGCAGTTCCCCGTCACTAAGGTCTTCCTTGTACAGATTTGCTGTGGTTGCCAGGAACGCAGTATTCCTGGCCTCAGTCCCAACTGAGGTGACTTTGCGGATGGTGGGTGGAGGAGTTGGGGATAGCTGAGTACCATGGTAGAGCTGCCACCCACCCCCCAGCAGGCCCCTGAGGGCAGCAGTTACCATAGCCTTAAAGAGGCAGCTGAAATGCATTTCTGACTTGACTGAATTTTCCAAACCAGTTTAGGAAAAACAGAATGTTCACTCAGTTCTCTAAAAGAAGGCTTGTATAAGTCTCGCCCAACTACTGATGGGAGAAAAACCACAGCCTTTGGGCATCCTTCAGCAGCTATGTTGGGGAGTTGTTAGGAATGGTTTACTGCTTTGCAGAACCACACATCTGAGAGGCAGCTCAAGAGTACTCAGAGGCCTTCCATCTTGTTTACAGGGCTCAGCCTCAGGAGCCAGACTGTCTGGGTGCATCCTGGATGTCTATGTACCAGCTGAATGTCTATGTACCTCTGGAGCCCGATTTCCTCATCTGTAAAATGGGCATGATACTATTGATCTCATTGGGATGTTGTGAAGATGAGATGAGTTAATATGTGCAAAGCATGCAGAGCAATGCCTGGCATGTACTAAGTGCTGTGTTAGCTTTTATTATTTCTCATAATGAAGTGTGCTAATGCCAAATGCCTTCTTCCTCAGCTTGCCCTAGATGTACACCTTGTTCTGGCCACATAGAAGTCCCTGAAAGTGCAGAGCACAGACTCCTGGGAGCTTTTCTGTGGTTCTTCTCCATTCACGCAGCCAGAGAATATGTACGCAGCCTCAGTATTCAAGGGAACCACTGAGTCAAGGCCTGTCCTAGTCAGAGAACCATTACTGAAACAATTTGCAGCCAATGCCCCTGACTTACCTTAGGTGCTGCTTTACGGAGCTGCAGTCAAACCAGACTTATGAGAGGAGGGGCAGGTAAGGTCAAAGTAATCCTAGGGACTTTGTAAACCAGTCTTATTTTAAATATTTCAATCAAGCCTCCATCCTCGGCAAGGCCACGTGGCCAGTTTGGCAATAACCTTAGTTCAAGTGTCACCTCAAATTTTCGCCTTTCCTAAGCCTTGCTCTTTCTTCTCTAGCCCCATCACAATGTGCATGCACACTGGAACAAGAAACTTAGAACATTTTTTCACATAGTTCCTGTCTAAATTTATTAGATTTTAGAAACCTATTAAATTTCAGGCTCCTTGGGTACAGTGTAGTGTCCATGTTCTATATAAATCTATGAAACCTAGTCCAGGGCTGAGAATGCAGGAGGTGGTTAGCATGCTAGGCACATAACTGGGATCACTACTGGCTTTGGAATTGGCTCCACCTCAGGTTAGAATGAGAATCCAAAGCCTGATCTTCAGTCTTAGGTCTACAGCCCAGTCCAGCCTGGGCAATAGCAAGACTCCATCACTAAAAAGATAAAAATTAGGCGGGCATGGTGGCTCACACCTGTAATCCCAGTACTGTTGGAGGCTGAGGCAGGAGGATAGCTTGAGCCCAAGAGTTAAAGACCAGGCTGGGCAATATAGTGAGACCTTGTCTTTATTTTTTTAAAAAGCAGGAAATAGAGTAAAAACTTAATATATATTAAATCTGCAACCTAATCTTCCAAACAGGAAGCAGGTTAGATATAGACAATGAACTAAAGAATTTTGTGAGAGGTAAAACATTGCAGAAGATTAGATCCTGATGTCTAACTTTACAGCAAGTTGCAGACCAGAAAAGGAATAGATGGTGGCCTTGGGTATTTCAATCTTTCCACCACTGCTTCCCTCCACCACTGCTTCCCCTCCCGTGGACCCTGTCCCGGCCCTGGGAACAAGGAGAAAGCAGCCCAGTCCTGGTCCTCTGCTGCCCTCTTCTGTTGCTTATAAGTTTCTGCTGGCTTGTCCTGAAGGGCCTGGAAAACACCCACTTCCTCTCCAATATCCTATCCAATATCCTATTCCTCTCCAATAACCTGCCCCACTCTATGGTTTCAGTATATTAGGGGATTCATATTAGAAGCAAGAAGGATAATTGTGATTGCCATTAGTTCAGACTGGGCTACTGATTTATATTCCTGAGCAAAAAAGCAGCAGACTTGGGCACAGCCTTCCTTGGGATTGATATTAGAAGCAAGAAAGATAACTGTGATTGCCATTAGTTCAGACTGGGCTACTGATTCTTGGGCAAAGCCTTCCTTTTCAGAACACTGGTTGCCCTCATCTCCAAAGACCTGGCAGATATGGAGCATGCTCCTATTTTGAACTCTAAAGCTAACAAATTATTCTACAGAGGCAGATTTTTCTTAAGCTTATAAGTGAGGGCACAATTTTGCATCCAAATTCCAGCCTTCCACTCTCACCCACAGGGAAATATTACCTGTGTTACAAGGATTAAATAATACATGTGAAGCCTTACTAAGATGACCCAGCACAGTGGCTCATGCCCATAATCCCAGCACTTTGGGAGGCCATGGGGAGTGGATCGCTTGAGGTCAAAAGTTGACCAGTTTAAGATCAGCATGACCAACATGGTGAAATCTCATCTCTACTAAAATACAAAAATTAACAAGCATGATGGCACATGCCTGTAATCCCAGCTACTTGGGAGGCTGAAGCATGAGAATTGTTGGAATCCGGGAGGTGGAGGTTACAGTTAGCAGAGATCATGCCACTGCACTCTAGCCTGGGAGACAGAGAGAGACAGTCTCAAAACAAAAAACAAAAAAACCCAGCCTTAAGAACAGTACCTTAGGTAGTGCTATACAAGTATTTTGTTTTTTAAAGTCACTGATGTGACAGAGGTCACAGTATTAAAAGGACATGGGCTTGACTGGAGTCTGGCTCAGCTACTTCTACCCATATCCCAGTTTAAGTCATACCTCCTCCACAACTGATTCCTCATTGCTGTCTATAGGCCAGCTAGCAAAGAAGATAATGATCCCTTCCTATGTCTGCTTCCCTAAGGACCCCATCATTCTGGACTCATAGAAAGCCCTCAGTAATCATACCTGTTGATCCTGTCCCCAACCCTTATCTTATTCAAGATTATTACCTATACTCAGTGTCATGTTTTTCTCTCCTGTTGGCCCCCAGGACAAACCATTAATATGGTGAGGATAGATGGCACTTACGGAAACCAAATGGTGCTATCTCATGGCCAAGCTGAAGTGGCAGCCAGAGTTGCCCTAAGTTTCGCAGTGGCTCAAAGGACACATACTGAATGAAATCAATGGGAAGGAAGGATATTGAGCTAAGTGCTTGCATATTCAGTCATACTGCCTTATTCTCCCTTCAAACACCCGTCTGCTTAACTTTCTGGACATTCTTTTCCTTGATCCATTAAGACCTACTTAAGTTGTGCATTCTTGCTCCTTGGAGGGTTTGAGTGGAATGTGGGGTGGTATGGAAATGAAGAGAGCATAGAAACAGGCTGTGGGCACTCATGTCCACCATGTCCTCTGCTAACCTCCCAAGGCATGCCAACGCCCAGAAGCCTATGCCCAGGATCTGCCTCCTCCTATGACATTGCCTGAGAATATACAGAGGTGCCTGTGGAACACACCATGTTAAGGACCATAGCTTCTCAGTCTCAAGAGGGAAAAGAAAAAGAATCATTTGAGGCATTTTGGTCCATTTGAGGGTGGCCACTTCAAGGCTAAACATAGCCGCTAGATTTCAAGACATCTCTAAAAAATAAGAGTACTCCACAACCAGGGCTACAAAAAAAAAAAAAAAAAAAAAAAAAAAAAAAAAAAATCAGGGACTGGAGGTCAAACCCTAAGCTACATTTGCCTACTCTATTCCCTGCTGGCTGGGAGCAAGAAGAAATGTGGGGACAGCAACAGAGATGAAGGAGGTTCCCCAATTCCAGGGCCAATACTCTTAGTTAGACTGACTTGGGCAAGTGTTGCTTAATCTGTTTGGTTTTCACACCTGTGAAATAGGAACAGTGACTATGATGGGCGATCACAGCATTAAAAGGACAAAATTCCAAGTGCACTATAACTGGCCAGTGAATTAGGATGGCTTCAGAAGCTATGGAGCATCTTAAATAGCAACCATCTCCTAGGAGCTTAGAAAGTCTTGCAAGAGGCTAGGTGCAGTGGCTCACGTCTGTAATCCCAGCACTTTGGGAGGCCGAGGTGGGCAGATCACTTGGGGTCAGGAGTTTGAGGCCAGGCCTGTCTCTACTAAAAGTACAAAAATTAGTTGGGTGTGGTGGTGGGCACCTGTAATCCCAGCTATTCCAGAGGCTGAGGCAGGAGAATCGCTTGAACCTGGGAGGCAGAGGTTGCAGTGTGCCAAGATCTTGCCACTGCACTCCAGCCTCAGAGACAGAGTGAGACTTGTCTAAAAAAGAAAAGTCTTGCAAGAGACAGATCAAGTGATTTAAAAACACTCTCTTGCCTTTAGGAGGCTAAGGCAGGATGATCCCCCCCACTGAGACCAGGAGTTTGAGACCAGCCTGTACAACACAGTGAGACCCCTGTCTTTATAAAAAAAAATTTTTTTTTAATTAGCCAGGCTTGGTGGCCCACACTAGTCCCAGCTACCTAGGAGGCCGAGGTGGGGGATCACTTGAAGCATGGGAGTGGAAGCTGAAGTGAGCTGTGATCAATCACGCCACTGTACTCCAAACTGGGTGAAAGAGCAAGACCCTGTCTGAAAAAAACAAAAACAAAACCAACTGTCGCCCCTCAATACCCCATACACGATACTGACACTCTCTTAAGCAACTTGGATCAGCCTACGCTCTCCCTCTACATTCCTTCTGTAAAATGTACTTCTGGTCTTAGCCTGCTCAACACCCGTGGCCTGCTCTTTTATTCTCACTGAGTAGTAGTTGTTCCTAATCATACTAGTCAATTTGTTATAGCAACTATGTTTTAATTGACTATTACATAAACCAATGAAATGAGTGTGAAGTTGTTTTTATAAAAACTAGATTGAGTTACTTACTTGTAAAACTGTCAATTTAGGTGTGTGGAATTCTTACAAAACATTGGAGAAAATGAGTAAATATTTAGAATTCTAAAATCAAATTCCTAGGCCAGGCATGGTGGCTCAGTTTGGAAGGCTGAGGCAGGTGGATCACTTGAGGTCAGGAGTTCAAAATCAGCCTAGCCAACATGGTGAAACCCTGTGTCAAAATACAAAATTTGCCAGATGTAGTGTAAAAATACAAAATTAGCCAGACGTAGTGGCACAAGCCTGTAATCCCAGCTACTTGGGAAGCTAAGGCAGGAGAACTGCTTGAACCTGGTCGGCAGAGTTGGCAGCGAGTTGAGACAGCGCCACTGCACCCCAGCCCAGGCAACAAGGGTGAAACTCTGTCTCAAAAAAAAAATTTATTTCTTTTGTTGTGCAAATTCTTTAAAAATAATTTTAAAGAAGCTCAAGCTGAAATCATAGATAATGTATTTTGGCTATTATGAAGGCCCTCATGCCCAAACTATAATTTTTCTCAATTTTTGAGTTTGAGAACTCTAATATACATAAGATTTGGGTTAAATGTATTTTTCTAATCCATTAATTTAACTTATTTTTTTTTTTTTTAGACAAGAGTTTCGCTCGTTACCCAGGCTGGAGTACAATGGCGCGATCTCGGCTCACCACAACCTCCGCCTCCTGGGTTCAGGCAATTCTCCTGCCTCAGCCTCCTGAGTAGCTGGGATTACAGCCACGCGCCACCATGCCCAGCTAATTTTTTGTATTTTTAGTAGAGATGGGGTTTCACCATGTTGACCAGGATGGTCTCGATCTCTTGACCTCGTGATCCACCCGCCTTGGCCTCCCAAAGTGCTGGGATTACAGGCATGAGCCACCGCGCCTGGCCCTAATTTAACTTTTTAATTAACCATTGAACTACTTGTCCTGATCATATACAAAAGAGGCTTTTGAGTGTGTGGGTTCACAGTAGAATAATGATCAGTGAGAAAGCACTGACAAGGGCAGAAAGGAGGCAGCGTTTGCAACTGTACTCCTCTCCAACTTCTAGCTAGGTAAGTTTGCCAGGAGCGAAAAGTTTTGGTGTTTAGGGAATGCCTTTGGACATTTATATTAAATAGAGAAAATAACTTTTGTTTCCTCAGAAAGGCAACTTTTTTTTTTTAGAGCAACTTTTAAATTTCTCAATTTTCCCATCCAAGGGGAGGCAGAAAGAATATTCTTTGGCCTCCACTCACCTGGAACAAGTCAAATGACCTCATCATTCCAGTCCATTATTGCAATGCAGTCGGTTATCCTGAAAATAAGACACTCACCCAAACTCACTTTCTTCATCCTTGTACAATTAACCCAGAACACAAGCAGGGAGCTGGATTATCTGCTGTTGACTGGCTTTAAATGTTCCATTTATACTGATAAAAATGTAAAGTGCATTCCTATGTAAGCAATATTGAGACATGAAAACTTGTTCATACAAACTTGAAGGGAGAAGTGAAAATATACACTTTACAAATTGATTCTTTACACCCTCAGACAGGATTTACAACAGTATTACTTTATACAAATTCCTACTGTATACATTTTTTTTGTTGTTTAGGCAGCTTTTCAGTAACATTTCTGTTATAAATTACATATGAAGCCTCCCAAGAGAAAGCTCAGAGGCTTAAGAGAGCCACATACAAAGCACTGGTGACAGAGGGGCAAAGAGGGCAAAGCCAGCACTCGGCTGCTTCATAGTCACTAGGAGTTGAGGGACCCTGACCCTCATACATAGCTCAATAAAGGCTGACACTGGGATCTTCATTGCTTTCCTCACCTCTTCTTCCCAAGAAACAACGTTTCATCAGAAGGAATTGTGTTTTCTGCAGCACTATGGCAAGGAAAGACTATTTTAATATAGGCTGACACTAGCATGGACTAGCATGTAGTCAGTCTGATAATGAGTAATCAGCTCTGGCTTAATGCATCACAATGGGCAATGACTCTTAAAATCCTTGTTGTCCAATTCTGTCTCCTGTTACAGGTATACAGCATCTGGAATCCAATCCGGTCTGTGCTATATGGCAAGAAACATAGGCAAGACTGAACCCAGAAAAACACCCATGGGTACTATTTACCAATCAATGCCTGCTTTAAGCCAGAAGCAGGTCTTAACAGACTGCCAAATATCCATCAAGATTTTTAAGTGGAATAAAAAGCGGCGGAAACCCATTACAAGGGCCCTTCAGAGTACCACCTGGATTGGTAGAGAGCCATGTTTCACCCTCTTCCAGGCTGACATCTACTCTATTCTCAGGCTAATCTTACACCAACACCCAAAGCGCCATGTTACTCTTGATGGTGGGTATAATGGCAAAATTAGGTACATTTCGGACACTTTGCCAAAATACCCAAAGCCTCAAGATCTTTATTGTCATTTTCTTAAGCTCTGCACTGGAGAAGGAAGCAGGGAGATTCAGGTTTTTACCAACCTCCACCACAAGTGGCATCTCTCCTTTAGGTTACCCTTGGGATAGATAAATGAATCCCACCTCCCAGGATACTGAAATGAAGCTGTAAAGATGTCAACTTCCTGTAAAGCTAGTCCAAATTACATAATCTTTCTCTACCCTTTGGTGCAGAGTTCACTGGATTCTCTTTACCCACTGACCCTCCTCCTGGCTCAGGCTCTAACTAAACACAGTCCTTCCCCTCTCCCACCTCACATACCTGCAGGACTACGGAGATGGAAACTGAATTGTCAGTTTCTGTGTGCATTGTATCATGTTTCCCTACAAATTCAGAGGTTTCTCTGGTACAGGCCAGCTTCAGAGCTAACACACAATGAAACATGGTTTTCAAATCACAACATCAGAGTAGTCATTTTAGGGATACAACAAACAGAAGGCATAAACGGGAAAGTAAATGTATCTCTGTGTTCACTGGTAGTGTGATGGTGTACAAGGTAGGAGGAATATTGTAGGAGAACTGGAAGACAAAAAACCCAGGTTTCGTTGTTTACTAGTTGTACAGCTTTGGGCAACTGACATTCTCTTTAACTTCAGCATCGTCACATGTAAAATGCTCAGTGGTTCTCATCCAGGGAGGGCGTGGTTTAAATACACACATGCCTACCTTTTCTGCCTCACTCACAGGTACAAAGATCCTATCTTCTTAAGGATGCTATTGTCAGGGAGTGTGTACCACCCACAGGTGAAGAAGACAAACTAGCGGGGATGGGGGCAGAGATTGTGCATACTAGATGGCAGAAGCTCTCTAAATAAGCAGTGGCTTTATACTAGCAGCAGTCTTGTTTTAAGCTTAATTTCTCAATAGAAGAAAGGACTGGGACAGTTGGGATCATAGCTCAATGTTGGGGGTGAGGAAGGGGGTTCTAAGAATTTGAATACTAACAAGGCCAAACCACGATGATTCCAGATTGTACTCTGGAGACTCTTCTTCTCCACTGGCCCCAGAATCCCCATCAGACGAGGAGAAACATCACAACTGCAGAAAACTGCAGACAACTAGAAGTCATTCTTAAAGAGATTTAATTATTTGAAGTGCATAAAAGGGAAGAGTACATTTAAATCTCTGCTATATCACAAACTGCTGTTTTTGTTGTTGTTTTATTAAAGACCCACCAATTTTACTAATCTTCAGGTTTATGGCTGTAGAATGTGGGGAAAACAAATATTGGCAACAGAATAGGAAAAAGTAAGCAAAAGTCTGTTCTGTTCACTGGAATGTCTTCTCCACTGCAGAACAGAGCCCTTTAAAAAAGAAAAGCAAGGAAAATAGCTATGGGCTATCCACAGCCAGTAATGACAGCTAGAGTTAGAAAGAAATGAGAAAGAAAACCAGGAGGCAAAGCCTGGGAATTCACAAGTTTCCTCTCAAGACATATACTAAACTTGGACCTCTATGAAGATTAATTTTCCTTAGATTTCCTTCCAACATCTTAACCCTAAAACCAAGTTCTCCTGTCAATTCAAATATAATAATGGCATCATTCCACAAGGACTGATTTGAGGATTGAAGTGATTTGCCAACATTCTGAGAAAGCTTTAGTGCAAGAGCAGGGCTTTAAAGACAGGTTCTAGTCCTTAAAGACAGAGGGGTTCTTTGTTAGTAAGGGCTGTAGGCCTTTGGCCCACCAAACAGAGCAGGACACAAAAGAAGAATCCCCTGATGTTGTTTGCAGGCTAACATCTACTGCCACTGCAACTCGGTTGGGCAGAAGCAAAAGCAAGCAGCCCCTTCTAGCTGTGTAAGCCCACAATGGAGAGGGGCAGAAGAAGCTGTGCTCTAATGGCTCTAAATAATCAGCATTTAGTGTTATGTTAGGATGAAGGATTTATTCCACAATATAAACTGTAACATTTGATACAAGCTACCAAAAAATAGGGGCAGAAGAAAGGGGCAGGGAGAAAGCCAAAATACAGCTGTGGCAATTACTTACAGAGAAGTCTCTTTTCTACATCACTAGTTCATCAGTGACACTAGAAACTAGACATTTGTGTTCTGTACATCAATCAATTGCTAAAGCACCAACACACTGTTTGGAAGTTTGTTTTGTTTTGTTTTAATTCCAGCCATGGAAACCAACACAGAAGTTATTGCTCAGATAAATAAACCTAGTCTACCAGGAAAAAGAAAAGTGGATAAAGAAAAAGAAGAAACAAACAAAACCCCCCGAAGTGAAAAACTTAAAAATTTTCCCAATCTGGCAAAGGAGTAAACAAGGGAGACCTTCCTCAAATGAGGATTTACTGGAATTTCTGGTGGGTGCCCTTCTGGGCACTGGAAGTGAGTTGGACTCTTAAGCTGGTAAATCCCAGACAGAGGTAAAATTTTAATGCTGTACATGAAAAGGTGCAAGCTTCAATGCCTTCCAAATTGGTGGGAGCCCCTGCAAAAAACAGCTTTTCAAACCTCAACAACCACAAACAGCTCTTAAGGAAAAAATACAAAAAGTGTCAAAAATTTTTTAGTTGTTTTTTCTTTTCTTCAAAGAGTCCTGGAAAAATGATCCCATAAGGAATAGAAATAGCACCGTTTACAGGCTGGTTTGAGTACCAGTCCTGTAGCTTTGCTGAGATTTGAAGAAATCCTCTTGGTTGGAGTCCTGAATTACATTAAGTAGGGGGGGGGTATCTGTTTTTGTGTTTTTACTTTCGGCTTGGTGCGTCCTTCACAGTACAGCGCACACAGATGTAGTCTTCTTTCTCTGCCATCTCTGGGGAGACACCAACACAGACCTGATGAAACCACTGATTGCAGCTGCCATCACACTGGACCCAGTCCACCTGGTTACAAAGAGCAGGAAGATGGGGTTTTCAGAGGAAAAAAATGGATTCAAAATTGGGCAGTCCAGCCTCAAGAAATTCAGGCCGTTTGCCAATAACGGCCACTGTCCCACCAATGGGACCTCTGGCACAACAGCTAAGCCAAATGAGTGTAGCTGGCCCCCTAGCCAAAGCAACCGAGTCAAAGTCATTCTTCAAGTCGTGTCTGCTTTGGGGTAAAGACAGCGTTGCCCTGTGATAAGCCAAAGGGCATTACATCAGCATCCCTCCCACCTTCTTAGCGCCAGGAAGGTGAAAGCTGGAAGAGCAAGAAAAGGAAAAAGGGAAGAACAAGAGTTTCTTCAAGAAAAGGGAGGAGACCCAGGAACGATGGTAAGAGCACAGATATCAGTGGGGGGAGGGCTGAGCAATCCATTCAGATCAGCTCAAAGTAGATAAGCAGAAGAGAAAGACCCAGCGAGATGAGGTCTAGCTTACAGGGTTTCTGAGTTAAGGGAAAGCACGTCCTCTATGGCCCAAACCTCACTGACCTCATCTCCTTCTGGCTGCAGGCAGCTCACAGCTGGGCAGATGGCATCTTCATCCTCAGAGTCCTCCTGTTCGGAATAGGATGTGTCTGAGGGCAGGGAATGAGTTTCAGCAGAACGAACTAATTCATAGCTACGCTCTCTCTCTAACTTGAAATTGTTCATGTCCTTGGGGTGGCTCAGTTTGATTTTCTTCTTTTTGGGGGTCCGCATTTTCTTAACTCGTTCCCACCGCTCACTGGCGAGGCCCTCTCTTTCCAGGCGTCTCTTCAGTTTTCTCTCAAGACTGTTAACTCCATCTCGCTTCCCTCGGCAACAGTCATTCTGGATGGAAGATAGGAAAGTTCAATTTTAGCCTATGGTTCACCTATTACTAAAACTAGTGAAGCTAAAGAGAACATGTAAATTAAAAATCAGATGATTCCCCTACTCTACACAGAAAAAAAAATACTGCATCTTAACCACTCCCCCTCCCAGTCTTAACCAGTTTGGGTTTAACATACTTCCTTTCCCTGTCACTGTTAGTGCTACCAAAGGATCACTGGAAAAAGGAATGTTAAAGACGTGATTAGCCTTCAAATTAGCCAACAAATACCAGAAGATGGAGAGGTGCCCACCAAGAGTCTTCCTTTCACCAAATCCCTGAATGACTGACTACTCTGTGTTTCTGTCTAGGTGTTTCTGTCTATCCTTCGACTTATAGGCTCCTGAGGAACCACACTAATATCTTCCTTCTTTAAGGATGTACACCCCATACCTTATAACTCGAAGGTGTATTAACTGAATACATTCAATGATCATGCCATACTACTTGGTATCATAATAAAAAATGAAATTCTAAATGCCAGCATTAGCCCTCATGCTATCTTTAGAGTTCTTCCCTAATTTAGCTTCAGGCTTCCCAGTAGTATTCTCAGGGGCCTTAAATGTAATAGGTCAGTCAGTTCACTAGAAGGAAGTGGTAGCAGCAGTATCCTTAATTATGTTAAGAAACAGAGTATTAAGGAATATCCTTCAAGTAAGTCAGCATTCAAAATGGATCAGTCTAATCACCCAGTCCTCACACCAGTTGTCTTGTTAGGTTTGGAGGAATAAAAGAAAGCATGTTAAAATGTTGACTCTAGGAATATCTTTGATTCTAAGAGTTTATCCCAAAATGTCTTTCCAATCATCCTTACAGTATTTCTCTTACAGGGGAAAAATAACCCTGCTTCTCACCATTAACACTTGGGAATGATGAGGAGGCATTTGCTAAAAAGAAAAAAAATATTCACACAGTGACTTAAAACAGGAACAAAATCCAGGTTGCATACCCAAACCGTAGCAGATGATATCCAGCACCTATCTTCTCACTGACAGCCTTAGGAGCAGAAATGTGAGGTAGAGAGTTTGCATCCTTTTCTGGATCAAAGATACCATCTCATTCACCAAACTATTTAGATGGAATGACACTAAAAGCATACCTCCACCTCAGACTGTGCCTTGCCCACAAGCCTCTCAGACACTCACCTTCTCACTGCTGGGTCTCACTGGTGAGCTTCTGTCAGTCTGCTGAGCAGGGCTTGGCTTTGCAAGTAAAGTCTGGTAAAGTTCCTGAATTTCAGGAAGGGATACCTGGAGCAGCTGGGCTTCCATCAATAGTTCATTCACGTCTGGACTAACACCTGTTAAAGACAGACCAAATCAAAATGTTAACAACAAAGGGTGTTTCACATTCACAATTGGATCTATGAGACAAACAGAAGGACTGCCCCTCATACTACTTCCCTCTCCTTCTTAAATTGCAAATTACCTTCAGTTTAAGTGAGGTTTACTTAATGTGCCTAAAACCACAATAAACAGAATGAAGACTAGATTTCCTAAGTCTTCTGATTACTAGTATTAATTCTACACTAAATCCCCTTCTCATGTAACTTATTGCTGATGAAGAGATTGTACTTCTGCCTTGATGGCTTCTAATAGAAAGCATAGAAACATCAGATGATACTTAGTCTATAGGCCATCAAAAAAAAAAGAAAGAAAGAAAGAAAGAAAGCATAGAAACAAACTGATGGCCCACAGTATGAACAGTCTGAGTAGATCAAGGAGCTCTAACCACATTACTAGACATACAAGGAGATGCTGTGACTAAGGATCAGTACTCTAGCAAATGTGGATTATCCCTAAGATTCTCCACAAGTCTCCTAAGGATTGAAGCAACAAGGGAGCCTGTGACTTAGACACCAGTGTCTAATTATCAGTTGGTGTGGCATGAACCCTTTATAATCCCTGAGGACAATGGATATAAAGCCTTTCTCTCTTTTCCTTTCCATTTAGAAGCCTTCAAATAGGATCCCTTCCCTATTCTGCAAATACTGTATAGCCTATATTTTACCATAAAGTCCTTTTTTTTTTTTAAAAAAAGATGGGGTTTCACCATGATGGCCAGGCTGGTCTTGAACTCCTGACCTCAGGTGATACACCACCTCGGCCTCCCAAAGTGCTAGCATTACCTGTGAGCCACCGCACCCGGCCATAAAGTCCTTTTTTATGGTACTTGATCATCTATAACAAAAATCTAGTGATACAAGATAACTCATTACTATCCAGCCCTTAACATAATAATAACAAAATACAAACCATGGAGGGGGATACAACTCCATCCAGTAGAGAAGGGAGAGTGCAAATATGAGGTTCTGTTGTCCCAGTCATCAGGCAAGGAAAATGATGTTGTGCCAGGAGGCTGAGATACCTAATGGAGGGAAAAAGTTTTATAATGAAATCTCTTCAGGATTAAAAATACTCCCATTAGTCCAATGACACTAGCTTGCATTACCCAGGCAGGCAACTAGGAAAAAAAAACTTGATTTTCCCCTACTGAAGAGTCTCCTGGCATTTCGTAACTGGCCAGATCAACTCATATCCTCCCAAAGACCAAGCCTTTAATCTTTCCAGTTTTACTTGGACTGATTTCAGAGATGTAAAGACCACTGGGAAATAAGCCATTTTCTCAGTGTAAGAACAGATCATATAGCCTTTTAATCTTTTTCTAATTCTCCTTATTGAAGATTAAAATACAATGAACACATATGTATCCCTCTGAGTAAACCAAATGAGGACCTGTCAGAAATCATCCATAACCACTTCCCTATCTTCCTTAGTGTTTTATTAAAGGAGCTAGGGGAAACACTTCTTTGAACATGAATTAATAAGTAATAGTTGTGTCCTTTCCCTTTAATAAGAAAGGTAAACTCCTAGCACCTCCTGGTTAAAGAACACCAATGACTCCACTTTGGGAGTGTGCACAGATGCCACAACTCATCTATGCAACAAATATTTGATTCATCATCTGCTATGTGTCGGGCACTATATTTCAGAAGCCTGAAAAGAAATAAAACACCAAAGAAACAAATAGGACAGAGAGACTATTTTTTCTGGTCCGCATCTCTGATCTTAGCAACAATTTAACTCATATAATCCATGTGTCTATACTCACATTGCACAAGAGAGTTGTGATATCTCTGGTACAAAAATATGTATCAAATTAAAAAACATCAGATTAACCTTATTAAAAAAATTGAATACTGACTTTCTGATTGTTCTTTTTTGTTGTCTTTACATTCTTTTACTGCAGCCACCTATGGAGGATGACAGAAAACTCTATCCATCCAGTGACAGTCAAAAGAGAAAGATCGCAAATGGTGTGAAACCCAGGAGTTCTCCTCTGAAATAACATAGTGCTCAAACACTGCTTCCAAAAACTTATCTTCCAAAAAGAGATTTAAGAGGCAGGAAGCACCTTCCCTTTCTACTAATTGACTTACATGAGAAGCAGCAGGG